GAATATGGTACTCACAAATATGGAGCCTATATGCAAGGCTCACCACAGGTGCAGGTGGGGAAGTTAGAAGGGACCCTACTCCCTTAATGATGCTGTAGAAGTTTTCTTCTTTACCCAATAACTTCACTGAACGTGATTTCCAAAAAACGGAAAAAACTTTATTGGTACAAAAAATAAATTAAAAGCGAGTTAAAAAGTGGTATAATAAATAAAGTCCACATAAAATAAACTTGCAAGACACGTTTCGCCTATTGAAAAGGCTTCTTCAGTTGCTTCTTGTTCTTCCCTCTTGTCCGGTCGTTTATATATGCTCCTCCTCAATTACTGACTCCGATCATCTGTTTCCATCGGTTACTTACGTCTCTCCTCAGTGACGAGGTATCTCGCGTCGCTTCGTGACGAGGTCATCACAATCAGTCCGTATTTGGACCGCATGCTCGCGTTCCAAATTTTCACTAAACTTTATTGTCCATAACGCATCCCTTGCTATGCACTACATGTTCTATAGGCACATAGAAAAAAAGGAACATCGTTATGTATATTTTTTCGTTCACATATATCACAAGGTATCAAGAATGTGATAAAAGTGAACTATAATGCATTTTAATTTAAGAAAAATATATAGTAAGTGTTTGCAGAAAAAGATGATAATATTAAACATATGAGTACAGACTGTATACAATGTTTAGAATTATAGTGTGACAAATGCTAGTAGAGTGTATATTAGACAAATATAAGAATATCTATATTGTTAAATAAATTGATCCTATGATCTAAATATAAGTTAAGTGGGAGAGATCTAAAAGGAAAATATTCTTTTAAACTAGAAACCTCTGAATCCAGATCTTGATTTATCATAAATAAAAAAAACTTAAAATCATAAAAAATGGCCAAGTTCAAAATCCGAATTCAATCCGTATGGTATAAGAGTGTTGAAATTAAAAAAGTATTTCATCTCTTCTTTGCCCAATTTGTTACTAAAATTCCCTCCTCTCCAATCTTTTTGTACAACTTTTAAAATGAAGAAAAAAAAGTTCTTTGGGATTTTGGTTGTGGATTATTTTGAAATGCTGAGAAACACTATGTGTATCAAGACCTTTTGTTATATTGCGGATATGTTCCGCAATTCTAATATTTAGTGGACGGATTGTTCTACCTATATATAATAGGTTACACGGACATTTCAAGGGGTAAATAACGCCTTTTGAATAGCAGGTTGCGTGATCTTTAATAATGTATTCACTTCCTATAATATGACTTGTGTTGGTAAGATGCCTTTTATGGCTATTGGTTGTTCTACACGGAAGGCAGTTTCCACAACCATAAAATCCTGAGAGTTCTTTTAGAAAATTCTTTTGCGGTTTCTCTGTTTCTAAATGACTTTTAACTAACATTTTTTTTAAGTTTTTTGTTCCTCTAAAAATGATCTTAGGTTGAGGGGGTAAGATTTTATTTAATATAGGGTCATCTTTTAAAATGTGCCAATATTTCAGTATGGATTGTTCCCGTGGTAATTGCAGATAAACGGTATATCGTTAGTTCTCTGTATTTTATTCTTAGGCCTGTATGTAAGAAGTTGTTGTCTAGGTAAGGTTTTAATGTTTTCCAAATTATTAAGAAGGTTATCTTTTTCATAACCTTTTTCAATGAATTGATATTCTAAATATTGTGCTTGCTCTAAGAAGTCTTTCTCGTCCTGCAATTTTTCTTAATTCTTAGGAACTGTCCTTTTGGGACATTGGTTAACCAGGGTTGATGATGGCAACTGGTTCTTTCTATGTAACTATTCCTATCCACCGGCTTGAAATAGATTTTGGTTTTGATTGATGAATCTTTAATATAGATGTTCAAATCTAAAAAGTTGATCTCTGACTGGCTTTGAGTGCACGTAACAATTGGGGATTACAACTTACGTGCACTCAAAGCCAGTCAGACATCAACTTTTTAGATTTGAACATCTATATTAAAGACTCATCAATCAAAACCAAAAACTATTTCAAGCCGGTGGATAGGAATAGTTACATAGAAATTTTATATTAAATAAAATCTTACCCCCTCAACCTAAGATAATTTTTAGAGGAACAAAAAACTTAAAAAGAATGTTAGTTAAAAGTCATTTAGAAACAGAGAAACCGCAAAAGAATTTTCTAAAAGAACTCTCAGGATTTTATGGTTGTGGAAACTGCCTTCCATGTAGAACAACCAATAGCCATAAAAGGCATCTTACCAACACAAGTCATATTATAGGAAGTGAATACATTATTAAAGATCACGCAACCTGCTATTCAAAAGGCGTTATTTACCCCTTGAAATGTCCGTGTAACCTATTATATATAGGTAGAACAATCCGTCCACTAAATATTAGAATTGCGGAACATATCCGCAACATAACAAAAGGTCTTGATACACATAGTGTTTCTCAGCATTTCAAAATAATCCACAACCAAAATCCCAAAGAACTTTTTTTTCTTCATTTTAAAAGTTGTACAAAAAGATTGGAGAGGAGGGAATTTTAGTAACAAATTGGGCAAAGAAGAGATGAAATACTTTTTTAATTTCAACACTCTTATACCATACGGATTGAATTCGGATTTTGAACTTGGCCATTTTTTATGATTTTAAGTTTTTTTTATTTATGATAAATCAAGATCTGGATTCAGAGGTTTCTAGTTTAAAAGAATATTTTCCTTTTAGATCTCTCCCACTTAACTTATATTTAGATCATAGGATCAATTTATTTAACAATATAGATATTCTTATATTTGTCTAATATACACTCTACTAGCATTTGTCACACTATAATTCTAAACATTGTATACAGTCTGTACTCATATGTTTAATATTATCATCTTTTTCTGCAAACACTTACTATATATTTTTCTTAAATTAAAATGCATTATAGTTCACTTTTATCACATTCTTGATACCTTGTGATATATGTGAACGAAAAAATATACATAACGATGTTCCTTTTTTTCTATGTGCCTATAGAACATGTAGTGCATAGCAAGGGATGCGTTATGGACAATAAAGTTTAGTGAAAATTTGGAACGCGAGCATGCGGTCCAAATACGGACTGATTGTGATGACCTCGTCACGAAGCGACGCGAGATACCTCGTCACTGAGGAGAGACGTAAGTAACCGATGGAAACAGATGATCGGAGTCAGTAATTGAGGAGGAGCATATATAAACGACCGGACAAGAGGGAAGAACAAGAAGCAACTGAAGAAGCCTTTTCAATAGGCGAAACGTGTCTTGCAAGTTTATTTTATGTGGACTTTATTTATTATACCACTTTTTAACTCGCTTTTAATTTATTTTTTGTACCAATAAAGTTTTTTCCGTTTTTTGGAAATCACGTTCAGTGAAGTTATTGGGTAAAGAAGAAAACTTCTACAGCATCATTAAGGGAGTGGCGTCCCTTCTAACTTCCCCACCTGCACCTGTGGTGAGCCTTGCATATAGGCTCCATATTTGTGAGTACCATATTCTAGAGTTACTCATCTGCTTACTGTATTATATTTTACTGAATTGTGCTAGGCTTGGGCCTTGTCTTTCTGTCTTTTGCAGTGATACCATATGTGAATACCAACTACACTCCACCTTTTTTTGTATGTATGTATTATCATATTACCTTAAGGCATGGCAATAATTACTGCCATCCCAGATAAATCTAAACATTACTCATATTGAGGCTTCTCATCAATGTGAAGTGGGTTACGGGCAGGATTATTTACTGAACCCTGAATTTCAGCAAATTAAATCTAAATGGCAAAATGTAGGAATAAAGCTGAGTTGGAGAATATAATGTGTGTTCCCTATTGTCCAGTGTGTTTCTCCATTTATTCTGTATTATCAATATGTCCAATCCATGCTGAAAAGGATCAGTCCAATAGCATTATTATGGCCAGTTTCACATTTCACTGTGCTGAGTGTGAGTCCTGAGGCACAGGAAGGGTTAGTCAAATACTGCAATTTGAAATTGGTCAAAAATGTTTACCTGGAATTCATCTGACCATAAAATCTGATATTGTTGATCAGCTACCTTTATCCTTTCTGGCAAACCCCAGCCAGTAATTGAGTTGGAATGTTTTGAGTAGCAGTTTCATATCTTCAGTGTAAGAGATCATTGCTCTCTCTTGTCGCTTCTCTTACAAGACTTCTTATTTTTCATGCTGCATTTTGAGGTGCTAATAGGTGCTAATATATGTATTTAAAATACAATTCTATTACATTTTCTACATTTATCTCTAATTTGTGCAGAAAGCTATTCTTTTTTGTCTGCATTTCCCATCAAATCTAAAGCCTCAGCATCAATTATTCCTTATAACATGGTGCAAATTCAATGGTTCACATCTGGAAGCCAGGTAAGTATTTCTGTAAAAAGCCAGTTTCTTTCATCTGTGTAACTGGAAACTCCCTCAGCACAAGGGATAAAAATTATACGTGCAAGAGATATATATATATATAATAAATACAGATTCCAACATGAAACCAATGTCACCTTAAAATAATTGAGTTTGTATATCTTGTTTTAAATTATCATACAGTACAAATTTTCAAAGGACAGTTTGAAATTCACCAATATGAAATAGACAGGAGATCTGAATATTACACACATACATGTCATAGCTTAAAGTAGTGCACTTCGTGCCTGAGCGGTTCATGCCAATAGGAAAGCTGTCACTGGATAAAAAAAAAACATCCTAGACCCTCTATAGTACAATCCCCTTCTTGACCACATCCACACTTCATTTACCTGTCCACCTCAGTCTATATAAGGCATCCCAAACTTGTGTTATTTAATTAGAACTTCCATGCTTTGTTGGCCATCTAGTCCATCCAAAGATATCCAGAAGTTGTAGGACATCAACATCTTGGGGCACCAGAGATTGAGATCCAGTCTCTAAATAATGATCTCATTACTTCTTATTATTCCCACCACCACACCAAAGTACCCATTACCCCAATTTTAACCTGTCTTTCCAGGTCTGATCCCTAATATTGAGTTTACTGCTCAGTTTTAATGTGTTTAATGTGTTTTCTTTTGACTGTATAATTAACATACTCACCACTCAAACTGTGTCATTACTAAACTATATTAAAAGGCCCTGGGTAAAGCTACTATAGGAGAATGTTAAAAATAAATAAATAAACAAAACAGCTGTATACATGGAATTATTCCTGTAGCTTTGCCAATTATCACAGATGGAGCCTACGATGCTCTCCTACAGAATGCATAATGTGAACATGTGGCCACTCACATGAATATAGCAAATACTTAACCAGATTTTTTCCCTTTTTCGTATTTAGTTAAAGAGTTGGGATGTCACCAATTGGCTACACTCTGCATGACAAATAACTAAGGTTAGCTTATTATTATTTATTACTTTGCAAAATACACAAATAATCCACTGTGTCAATTTGTAAAACCTCTAGTAAGTACATTTGGTATAGTTCCTAGGAGAAAAGAAGCATTTACAGCCCTGCTGGTGATTATTAAGTTTATTTATTTAGTCACCAAATACAGTGGTAATGGTAATAATGTACAATGAGTCATTCTCAGAATGGCACAGCATCGCCTTATTAGAATCAGAAAATGAATATATTATTAGTACTGTTAATATTATTGTTGAATCTTAAGTCCATGCAGAGGATTTAAGAAGCTTTTCAAAAAAGAAAAGTACAAAATTAAAAACACAACTATTACGTCCCATAAAGAGGCGGTAAACAGCTGTTATCTCACATTTAGAGACCGCATGGATTCCTGACACCAGCGATGGTCAAATTGCAGTATATTTCCAAGACACAAATATCGCATGTTGCTTAGAACATTTGTTCCTCACAGGTCACCAGCAATTCTAGATGGAGCATGGAGGAGCCACCACCAGGGCATGTGATACGTATGCATCTTAACTTCAAGTAAACCTTAATCCATCCCACCTTTTACCCTCCTCCCATGAGCAAATCCAAGGAGAAGGAATGATATAAATATTTCTACATGTGAAAATGCTGGTGATATCTATGCAATCTGATTAGAAAAGACATAGACATTCTATAAAGAAATACAATGTTTATGTATGAACACCTGTGTTTGCATATGTATGTGTGTGTGTACATGGACATATACACACCCAGGTGTACACACAGATGGACACTCGTGCCCACATACATATATAATACAGCCAAGCACTGAAAAAATTCATATAAAAAATATACAGTATTTTATTGTATGTTTAAAAGGATAGAATATGAAGCAAAGCAAGGATGCAAGGGAACACAATAATAATGTGCAAATATCACATATCTATTGTACTGGAAACATTATAGAAAATTAGTCTGATATGTAGTGTATATAATATATGTACACAAATAATTTTTGTGTGTGGTTTTTTTTTTATGTGCATAATCTTTGCAGCCTATTTCTACATATCTACTCAAAATAAAGCCAGCACATAACATATTTATATATCATAGAGAAGCATCTACAGCAGTGCATATACACATATACTATACTGTGCCAGGCAATAGTATGGTGAAAGGCTTATGAGTTGTAATAAAGAGTAATGTGTCCCATGAAAAAAGCAGCTTATCACTGTGTATTGAATACCCAGTGCAGACAGCATGATATGGTGGCAAGTGTGTTATTAGCAACTATAACAGTAAGATCTCGCATGTTCATAACAAGTGGTTTAAGCATGTTCTAGAAACCCCTGGTGATGGTACCTCCTAATGACTGCCATTCAGCCAGTTTACACTTATTCTGCACCAGGAAATGGCTGCATCTCTGATGTGATGTTGCACAGTCACCAGCATGTATCAGAATTTATATTAATAACAAAGATCTGTTTATAAAAAATACAAATGTAAAGGGTCCTCTTCAAAAGGAGCGTGCAGGGAAAGGGGGACAGGGGGTGGAATCCGGGACGAATTCGGAAGCTCATGCAAGAGATGGTGCAAATAAAGTCTTTATCTTGCTTGGGTTTGGACAGCAAAGGGATGGCCTGTGTCTGCTCTACTCCCTCCAGCTGCTCCGCTTCCGACCTGCTGGTATCTTGAATGTGAAGGACAAGATGAGACAGGTTGGGATGGGCCCAGTCTGTTATTGTTCTGAAGCTGAGGAGATGCTGGTATAGTAGGGTGGGTGGGCATAGGATTATTAAGAAAAATTCAAAGTGTGCATGTGTCTAATTATTTTATATATATATATATATATATATATATATATATATCTCTCTCTATATATATATATATAAAACGTGTGTGTATATTTTTAGTTAGAATAAAGGGAAGATAGACCACTTGTCTACTTGTCTAAAGATTACTACTGACTAGACACAGAACATTGTCCAAATAAAGTGCATAACTATCAACCTATAGCCCCCTGGGGTACATTAAGAGGCAGGAGGAGGAGGCAGCACCTGGCAAGGTTTGGAGTTGGTAGACGCAAACTCCTTGGTGCTCAAGTCTACAAGCACCTTCTTGGCACACAGGTATATGCTGAGAAGATCAGCAACCACTACTTTCTGGGGTTGGCTTTAACATGGGCTGAAACATATCACTGCCCCACAGCCCAGAATGAAGAACAGTGACAAGGGATAAATGATGGTGCTGAAATGGACAACTCCACTTTGGAGGTCATTAACCGGGACTTAGTGGAGTGATGAACCGGATGGCACCGACAGGAGACCTGCAGAGGTTCTGGATCAAGGTGGAGGGTGGAGATTTGCCAGCAGCCTCAAAGCCTTTTCTTCTTCTCCATGTCCACAAACATGCACAGCCAAAAGTGCTTACAAATCGGGGAGGATAGTGAGCGTTGGAGAGCAAACATATCCACCTTATACTCCGGAGGGAGACTTGTCCGACACCCCCTTCAGCACTTCGTCTATTCTGTCATCTTCAATAACCACTGAGAAAAGGGAGAGACATGATGTTGGGATCAGGAGACCAAATCAGTGACTACGTGTACAAGTTAATTGGGGGAAATGAGGAGTGAATATGGCAAGTGAAATGGCGAGAATGAGGGGAGTGTAGAAGGAGCAAGTCTGGGGCAAAATTCTAAATGTGAAGGAATCAGCAGTAGCATTGGTTTCCATGGTGATCACTCCCCATTTAGAACCTTCATCAAGACTTAGATTATATATACGATATAGATATATATATATATAGATATATATATATATATATATGTATGTGTATATATATATATATATTTATAAATATGAATGAAGAAAGAAATATAGAGAGATAATAGTGTGCATAATGCCAAACACATTAAACAGACACAATATGTTTCCTAAATATGAACACATTGCTTCACTTAGTTATTGAAATTATGCTGACGATTTATCACAGACACCAAGACCCTGGACAAACAGGATACAGAATGCGCAGTGATTTCTACACTCCATCTTGTAAAAAACATACAATGTGTCTGTGTCTTGGTAGATCTGTATTTCTAATCCTGCTGCAAGATGCGCAGACACTGGCATGACACTGCACACTGCTACCCCTGCATTGAAATTCCATCACAGCCTATTCCAGCTGGCCAGCTCTCCACATCAGCACCCTGGACAGCTCCAGCACCCTGGACAGCTCCAGCACGCTGCCATGCAGGGCGACCCCAGGACCCTATACAACCCCAGCACCATGGACAGATCCAGTGCATGTGAATGCCTTATCCCGTGTGCAAATTATGTTTAGAATAAGGAGCACACGGATAGGGACTGGGATAGTGCACAGGATTACTTGGACCTATGAGTGTGTTGTGGTTTTTCCCCTTAAAGTGCTACATGGCTACTGCGTTAGTCACATCACATGGTGTATGTGTATACAAAAGCCACATGTATGTATACACTAGTGTGTGAATATATCCATCACAGTGTGCCTCTGTGTACTAATATAATGTTGGTGTTATGTATACAGTACGGTTCTAGTCAAAGTTGTAAAAGTGAAACAATCACCATGAAAACCAATGGAATGTTCCTGCTGAGTGTTCCACGGTTAGAACTTTGCCACTGAATTGTTCTGTATACATAATCACCAAGTATATGCTTATAAGTAGAGATATTATTTGTAACGTGCATCTATTCCTATGACGAATGTATTATCCATCAGCAACTGTTAACATGGGGGAGTTAATATTAATAATAATAATAATAACAATAATAATAATAAGCACCATATATAGATCCATGCTTGTCCATGTAATAATTTATATAGTGTACTTTCACAAAAGTACTAATGTATGTAGAGGTAAGAACCTAATTGATGAATGCATTGATACTTCTATGCACGTGTCTTTGTTTATATTAATGTTTATCTAGATACTCTGTGTTCTAAATATGGTACTTGCTCAACTACACACACATGTCCACGTATGTACATTGGTTTCAATAGCACCTAATATTAATAATTGTCTGTTATGCATATTTTACTAAATGCCTGTGCTTGTTTTATTCGGTTTGTTTATATTCTCACCTAATCTGTTCATATAACTATTAATTTAAACACTTAGATGAGCATGTTTACGTGGGTAGACATTTATTAAAACACTAAATTAAATATACGACTGCATTGGTGTGTCATGGTACATGTTCATTTAAATGTCCGTGAATCTGGTGTACTAGTGAGGCTGGCTTGGTCACCTATACTAAGGCAATTATATATCAGATATAATTATATATATATATATATAATTATATAACTATATAAATGTTTTTGTTTTTTTTAATCTGAGCAATTAAAAAAATAATATATAAAAGTCATACGGAAAGTGAGATAAAATATGAATGTTTGTATATATTTATGTATATATATACGTGTGGATGTGTGTGTTACCATTATATTGTGCTATAATTGCAGTCATGTCCCTATGAATATCCCTACCACATGCCTGTGTATTTATATATGCAGCTATATTTACCTAGGACACTGTTTTATTTATTTAAGTTTGTATTTTTATAGAGCAAATCGCAGGTTTATTCATGGACATGGCTTGATTTCGGTGTTTGTCTGAAAACCACCGCATTTTGTTTTGAAAACCGAGTTAAGTGTATAGAGCATATCTGGTCTACTGTCACATTATTTTACCACCTGTAAACATGCACAGGTCCGTTTTGAGCTATTTTGTTGTTGTTTATATCTGTGTCGCCCGACTATATGTAGCTGTGGAGCTATACCTATGCAGCTAAAAATCTAACCATACACCACTTTGCATCCATCTCATAATACATTACTATTGGCTGTCTACCATTATAGTGAGCACAGCTCCCAAAACCCTCTACTCTCTGTTAATAAAACTGAGCTATCTATCAGGATACTAGAGTTTACCAATATACAGCTCTGAATGAAATGGATGAATCTGTTAACATTACCCACTGATATGACACAGACAATAGGTGGATTTCTACACCATAACAAAGGGCAGCCTGCAAGCTCACACCCCCAACATGGCAAAAAACTAGATGAGAATATTTGGTTGCACAAGAAGGCAATATATGGATGAATGTCAGATTTAAACTAAAGAGAAAGAAAAGAAGGAAAGATAGAGATTAGAGATAAGGAGATGGTGGGAAAACAGGTGGAGAAGATTGGCAGTGTGGTTATGAATGAAAGGGGGCTGCTTGGAGACCTGGAGATTTAAATGGGGAGGGAGCAAACAGGGATGCAGATATGGTAGGGGGAGAAGATTGGGAGGTGGAGCGAGACAGGTGCAGAATAGAGGGTGACAAGTGAGGTTATACATGCACACACAGTATGGGAGAGGGTATGGAAGGTCCATAAGGAAAATGAGAACTGAAGATATTGGGGGTGTTTAAGAATAGATGTACTGAAATGGGGATACAGAGCCCTGTAGGAGCATTGTGGGTGGGTGGGCATGCTGCACAGACCCCCTATATGAAAAATCCCCAGTCTCCTCACCTCTTTTAGCTCGCCCAATCTGCCCCAGTTTTGGGGGTCTTTTCTGCTGGTTCCCCCCAAAAAAGGAGCTGGTGTCCTGGAGGCGACAGCTGAACGATATTTGCCCCACCTCCGTGTCGGAGCCATAGTGGCCCATCTTATCCTCGCTGTAGGGCAGGATCTCAGACATGGCTAGCAGCACCAGGACTAGGAAATCCTTCAGGGTGGGCTGGGAGGTTCAGGGAATCCTGGGGCAGAGAGCAGCAGAGCGTGGGCAATGGGTAATGGGGGGCAGAGCAACAGTAGGTGGGCAGGCTGGGGTATGTGGGATTTTTGGGGGCAGCAGACGGTGAGCAGAGGGGGAGGGGGTTACGGGCTCGATATGTCCTGCGGTAGGTGATCACAATGTCCCGCTCTAAATTTCATGCACTGTGTGCACCCGGGGGTCCCGCGGTCCCTGGTGGGGGTCTTGAAGTGGTCACAGAAGGGGGGCGGGGATCCAGTGGGGGAGCAGCAGCTCGGGGGGTCCGGGCTTCCTGCTTCTTTGGAGGTGTCTGAGGAGAAACTGGAGAAATTGTACATCATAAAGAGAAGCGGTGGCCGAATGACGTCATGAGAGGAGGGGGTGCTGTGACGTCAGCAGGCGAGTGCGGAATAACAATGACACTGCAGCAAAACAAGGAATCAAGTTCACGGAAAGCAGCCCAGGAGAAGAGGAGCTGGCGGGCGGGGAGGAAGGGGACACCCAGTTACCGTGTCAGGGGAGTATCCTAAAGAGGAGAGGACACGCGTGGGGCAGGGGGAGCTCCCTGGGAGGAGAGGCGACCCACAAAGAGGGTCCTGCAGTGTGAGAGCTAGGGATGGAGAGAGGGGGAGGGATAGCAAGACTATATTTCACTATATCACATACTAGAGGTAGTAGGGGGAACATATTTGGATATTCTGCTATTTTGGAGAATGTTTCCTAAGATGCTCAGCCATGTAGCTAGCTGAGTGTTACTGGACACTGGTATTCAACTATGAGTGCCAAATGTTAACTAGTAACAATCACTTCGATGTTCTGAGGTTCTTACTATGCTTGATCAGAGCTCATTTATAATCGAATACACAAAATGATGCACATAAAATATGTATAGAATTGTGTGGCAAATTTTTAGAAAGAACAATTCTGGGGCAATGTTCTAAAAGTGGAGCAACCAGCAGGGGCATTCCATTGGTTTCCATGGCAACTGCTTCAATATTACAGCGTAGGTACCACAATACACATAGCCCTTAAATAGGCCTTCATGTAAATTTAATTAAACATTAATATATTTCAAAAGCTATCTTCACTCTATATACACAGACTACAGGAATGTCTGCACTCATATTTTGCTGGGTGAGACATGTTATACTAATAGCCAATTTATTTAGATAATAGGATGTGACTATTATAGATTATGGGGGTTTGGGTAATATTTATTATGCTGGATTTTGGAGTAAAGGCAGTAATTAGTAAGATAACACCTCTAAAGGTGAACCATTTATTATTATTATTATTATTTATGTAGCCCCAAAATATGTTACAGCACCCACAGTCATACAATGTTGAAGTACAGGAAGACTAATTAACAAATTAGAATGTTGACAGATTCAAGAGTGATTATGTAAGGTAGAAAAGGGTTAATAGCTCTGTAGTTGACTGAAAAAATGTGGGATATACCTAAACTCACATTGTTTCAAACACAACTACACATCAATATATCACCTCACTTTATACTAGCAATATTGATAAAGATATATCTCCCTTTTAATATTACTATGTGATTCCAAGCACAATTGTGTACTGAACAATGTTCCAACCAATGTTGGATAGTGCTGAGAATTAATTGGGAGATTTCACATTTTACCTTTAAGATTTAAATAAAAAATCACAGTGATTGAAATGTTTTATTGAATGGAGCCCTCCCAAAAATGTCACCTTCATTAATCTGGAAATAACAAGTATATATGTATAATATAAAAAATCATCAAAATTTTTGTCCACATGTTGCTAAATTCACATGCCATTTAACAAGCTACAAATGGGATTTTAAATGTTTTTGTTTTTCCCAGCATTAGCCTTGGGCACATCTGTGAAGACCAATTGTGCAGTATGTAGGAGGTTTTTAGTTTTACCATGAATGATTTATGCCATCTGCATAACTTTCTAGCTCCTTTACAGTTCCTTGGTCTTGTAGTTGCTTCTCTGAATAATGCTCTCCTTATCTGGTTGTATAGTTTTGGTAGAAACCATCTTTTGGCATAGCCACTCTTGTATTAGATATTTAAATTGTTTTAAATAATTTAATGGTACCATGAGGCATGTTCCAACTGTGAGATACCTTTTCTAATTACGGAATACTTATTAGGTCTTCTCCACAACTTCATCCTGGACCTTTTTCTGATATTACCATGGTCCTCATGATGCTGTTTATTTAGCACAACCAGAACGCAAGATTTGTAAGTACAATGGTAAAAAGCACCAATAAAATCCAGTTTAATTCCAGATGGGACAAAATAGAAAAATGGGAGTGAATACCTATGCAGTACACTATTTATGTTACATGAAACACTTAGTCTATAGTTATAAAACAACTGTTCTGCATATGAAGAGTCAGCATTCATCTTTACATTTTGCTTGATACAAAGCTACAAAATAGCTGAAGCTTTGTACATCTGATTTAAGAAGCTTGGATATTGTGCTTTCATGCCAAAATAATAACAGACCAAGCTCTGTGTGAGGTCCCTCTTTAAGAATGGGCTCTGCATGCTTAACAGTTATTTGCAGTTGTTATGCTTGGCTTGATGGATGACATAACTGTGTGAAAATCAATTACCAGAGATATCTAAGATGTGAAACAAAGATGGACAACATGAATTAGTCCAGCAACAGCTGGCGAACCACAGGCTAGCTAGTGCTCACATAATGACAGCAGCCAATAGTTAAATATGTTACTTTATAGTTAAACCTGAGCTCAGTTTTGATGTCTGTTCATAATATATTGTGTGCCATGGGTGCCTTTCTTTTAGGTCTCATCTGCTCCAGTAGTAAAGTATTCATTCTGTGTCCTCGGGTGTATTCCAATTTTCTCTTTCCCTAGTTTTGATCCTTTCCACCTCTACCCAATACCTTTACCATACCATCAATTAACATTTTTTACTTACTTTTTACTTTTAAAATGTTCGTGTTCCTCAAAACATCAACATAATCCTCACCTTTTCATTCTTTGTAAATACTTTGTCAACTGTTTTCCCCTAGCCAGTTTCTCCCATTCTGTATTAACAGCATATTCAAGTAAAAACAAAGTATATGGATCCCAAGAACTTTCAGTATTGGCTTAAGAGAGCATGATTGGTCTCCCTCATTTGGAGGGTACAATAAATGCTAGGAGCAAGTTGTCACGAAGCCCTGGCCTCCCATGTGATAACCACTGTGATAACATGGTATTTAATAAACTTTTTTGCAAATATTTCTAGTAATAATAATAATTAAAAAATTTCAACACCTTTGTGTTCTGTCCAAAGTCAGGCTTTCCCTGTCTGCTAGAGGGTACCACTAACTTTTTGTCATGCAGAATGGACAGTTAGTGTCTTGATAATGTCCACCATTTTAATTGATGTATCTTTTTTTATTAGAATTTTTTTTTTTTTTTTTTTTAAAGGTACAAGTACACCAAGAAGAGATCATACAGTGGCAAAATGTAACCCAAAATCAATATATTTTTCAACACATTAGCCAAATTTAAGCATTTAATACGATGGAAACCCCTTCCTATATTCTACAAGAGAAGTGTACAAAATTGAGAAATAAAACAAAATACAGGTATAAATAAGCTGTCTATACCTATGTTAAAGCAAAAAAGTTAAAATCAAGCATTAGTTAAAACCTAGTGCTTGCTTGATAATGTTAAACAATCTAATCCGTTATGTTGTATGTAAAATACTATATATTGAAAAGTCAGAGGTAACAAATGTTGTAAAAAGCCTCTAAGGCCAGACTTATGTCCACATGTCTGAAGACTCCGACCAAGGTGTGTAGCATCCTCCTAATAGGCACTGTAAAGAAACAGTGAAATCTCGCAGTGGCAAGAGAAGAGTTCATCTACAACGGAGTATGACAAGCTCTTTCCTTGAGCTGCAATGGGATGTCCGCTACTCCTCTGTCAATGAGGATTCTGGATTTTTGCCTTCATCCATGGTAGTTATGGATAAATGGAAGATGGAACTCTCAAATGCCTCATATGATGCACACAACTCTCATGACGTTTATGTGAAGGAGTCCTCTGTGGGTGAGCCCCACTCTTCAGCAGCAACCACCAAAGTTATATGCTCCACTGAGGTTGAGGTGGTGTTGGATGGTTCAGGAAACCCCATGTTCGATCCACACCAGATCTGGCACCCACAGTCTGGTGAATAGGTTCTGCCCCTTCATATCACTGTATTTGTGCATATGTGGATCTGGAGAACCTCTGGAGAAAGAGGGGAGGAACAGGCTGCATGCTGAGTGCCCATGCCCCTTTCTCTCTGATAAAGTGGCTTGGATGCCCAAATTTAATATGCTGCTCGTTACCCTTATGGCAAAGAATGAGTGAGACCCCATCAGGGTCTGAAAAAGGCATGAAATTCACACAGGACAAGTTGCTGCATATCCTAGGCCCTACTGCAAGATTTTGGTTTTACAAGATGAGGTGCTGTCTTCAGGTGATGACTGCATGTAAGAGCAGGCTCAGAGGAGCGTTTGCCTCTTAGGGAACACAAATGTCCTTAGCCGCATAGTAGCTTTTCTGAGACTGGACCCGAAGCTAGGAGATTTGGACATATGTTGCCCCTTGGGCAGGTGTTTGGCAGTGTTTTTGTTAAGGAACTACAGAAGCATGTAATCCTTTATGCCTCACTTAATAAAGCTCAAGTTTCATTGAAGAAGGTTTTCCATTCCTCCTGTTTTTCCCAGGGCTGGACGACAAAGCGACTGAGCATCCAGACGATTTTGTCAAACAGCAATTCTATAAAGAGTCTCAGTTTTTCCTGAGGCTTCAATTCTAGCCTCAGAGGTGTGCTACCCGAGGTCATGGTGCCGGATGTGCACAGTTCTTTACAGATGGCAGATGGGTCCACTGTGTTCACATCATGTTTCTTCCCTACCCATAGCAGGTCAGATCATTCCCATTCAGGCTGCACCGCCTCCACCCCTAAGAGCCAATCGCGAGCAGACCATCCTCTTCAACAAGGATGCTCGGTCACTGTGGCTAAAGGTCTCTATCGAGCCGGCCACATCCCGAGAGAGTTACCTCTGCAATATCTTTCTGGTCAAGAAGTTTGGTCTGAACTTCATAGCAAGGGATAAGACTAGGATATGACATATTACCAGACCTTAGAATGGCCGGACTAAACTTCAGACAGAGATAAAGAGTAGAGAGACAGCGAAAACAAGAACTAGCCAGAGTCAGGTACACGGCAATCAGACGGGTAAACAGGACAGGAAAGGGTTAAAGATAAACTCAGATTCAGGAACAAAGCCAAGATCAATACCAGAATAAACACAATAGATCAAGGAACGCACAAAGGGTACTGAAACAGAAACCACGAAAGGACAAAGTGGATAGGGCTAGGGAAGTTTAAATATCCTTTAACTAACATTTGATTGGCCCATGTCATGCCTACGCCCCTAAAATGTGCATGTGTGGGGGTGCCAAAATTTCATGGGCGAATGTGAGCCTGCATCCACTTGTTGCTCCCACTGCACTTTAAGAGAATGCTCGTGGCGCAAGCCACTCTCCTAGTGCCACGCAGGCCGCGTGACCGCTCACTGCAGTCAGTGCACGAGGCCCACTCAGAAGAGAAGATTGAGCCGCACGTGGCTCATGTGGCCCCCAGATAAGGTAAGTACCACCACAGTTCTTACACACTTTTACACATTCTCCATGATCTCATATGTGGTTGAATGAGTTCTTCTTTGTTGAATTTTGATAATCCTTATGATTGCCCTTTAGAGGAGTCGGCCTTGGTTTCCAGAGCTCCTGAATCTATCTTGTCTGGACCCTGTTCTCCTACGGTGCTTTCCGTCACTCCTATGGAATTCTCTCAGGAAACCTCATCTGTGGGTACTTCAGGAACGTCTTACTTTCATGGTTTGGGAGATTTTAGGGGATCCTGAAATGTCTCTGAATTATCGTTGGTTGCTCAGGAACTTCTCTGGAACTCAGGGGATACTGGAACCCAATGTAGTTACGCAATGCCTGGGATTGTTGGTGTAGCTGGTATGTGGTGAGGGATTTAGATCTCCTTACTGCCCCTTAAGATGCCCTCTTTGAAGATTTTCTATCATCCTTTTGTTGGGGGGATGGCATTAACCTGTATAGGTTGGCCATTTCGGCAGCCTATGTTTCCATCCAAGTTATCCAAATTGGTAGGAATCCTCACTTTATTTTTTTGTAAATATGATTTTTATTTGTTTATCAGTGAGACTCGCAGATCTCTAATGGGCATATTGAATTCGATAACAAGCGCAAGACACGTGCGAAAACTGATTTCAGGAATGGTAGGCAATCATCCGGGCTCGCAGGCCCACATTGTTGATGGACACACAGGTCCTTTGTAGTATTCAGTCTGTGAAAATTTATTTTTTACTTGCGTTATGTATAGGGATGTAACAATGAGACTCACAGTTCTCTTTAAGCATAATAGTTTTAGTAGACAAAAATATAGTCAGTTCGCACATGGGGGGAGTGTCATAATCTATGCGAGCATAGTGGCCTGCAGGCCCAGACTCTTAATGGACTTGCTGGTACTTATCCACCTCAGTTAGCCATCGTGAGGGCATATCTCCCCTAGGTTATGTCTCACACATGCTGCACTCAGCTATAGTAGCATTCCAGCCCTTAGGCCTCACTATTCCCTACTCTGTGAGTGCATTAAGTTTCACGGCTGCCCATTAATTTTTTGCTTACTGCTTGGAGGCCAGAATTCTCTCCCTCCCACGCTAATATTAGTTTCCGCTTTCATCTACTCTGTTGTGAGTAAGGAGTTTCTACCTCTTTCGTTTGCATTGGCTAAGTTAATGGTGGTATCGTATGTCCTTATGGCGGAGCCTGTGTTTCGTCTGGTACCCTTATCATCTCCTCTATGTTCTTGTTACTTTTAGTATCGAAAGTTGTGTATTAGACTTCCGTAGTTGTAGTGTACGTGGTGTCAATTGTGTGAAATTAGAGAGGAGTGTGCTTGTGTGAGGGTTAGTTGTATCTGCAGTATGTGTGTCCCCAACCATTCTCCCTGTTTCCGGGTTGTATAATGATGCATGTCTCTTAATGCATCAGGGACGGGAATCGTCTCAGGTCGCAAAAATTCAAGGTGTGTTTCATCCATTCAGGATTTGGTGAACTATCATGTGGTCTGCCCATTCGACCCCGTTCCCCGGTCCCCCCCCGACCCAGGCATCCGACAGCAGATAAGGGAAGGGGGTGCAGAGCAGTGTAGGAAGGTATAGTAAGGGGGTATGAAGTATGACCTGTGTTAAGTGGGGCCCGTACCCGCCGTCGCCCCTTCTGCGGGCCTGTATCGGGTTTTGTATAAGAACCAGGGTAGCCACATCTCTGCGTGTCTGGTTCCTCGTCCTGTCAAGGAGGCATGTAGTTCTTCCGCTTCTTGAATGTCCTCCACTCTCCGGATCCATTCTTTATTAGTAGGTAATGTACTTGTTTTCCAGTGTACTGGTATGGTAGCATTGGCCGCGTTTAACAGATGGTGTAGTATTGATTTTTTGTATATCGGGATTGGTTGCGTCGAGATGTGTAGCAGGGCCAATTCCGCGTTCCAGTCCAGTATGTCCCCCAGGATAATTGTCACTGTTTCCTTTATCATCTCCCAGTACTGGGTTATGCCCCTACATTCTCACCAGATGTGTTGTAGTGTGCCTCTTTCAGCCTGGCATCTCCAGCATATCGGGGGAACAGATGGGAAGATCCAATGCAGCAGTGTTGGTGTTCTATACCAGAAGGAGAGCAACTTATAATTCACCTCCTGGTAATATGAGCTCATGGAGCTCTTATGTTGCCATAATAATGCAGTATCCCATTGCGAGGTTGTGAGTGTCCTCCCTAATTGATCCTCCCATTGTCGTCGGAAAGTGTTTGCAATTGTCATGCCGCCTATTACTAGGTTTTGATAGAGTGCCGAGATTGCGTGTTCTAATGGAGCACCTCAGTCGCAAAGGTCTTCAAATCATGTAAGGTCTCTGTGCAGGCATTCTTTGTGAGGCATCGTATCGTAATAATGTTTCAGTTGTATGTATCTGAGTAGAGTGAGGGGAGTCTGCGGTTCACCCTCCATCATTGAAGCCAGGTCCCGTAATCTTCCGTCCCCCAGGGCCTTACATATAGGGATGTATTTCCCAGTGTTCGAGATGGGCCATGCCCTAGGAGGCAGCCCTCCTCCGATGGCCTCGTTGTGTGTAAGCAGAATCATTGGACTGGGCATGGATGAAACATGATTCTGATCTCTCAGTGACCTCCAGCTATGTAGCGTCTGTAGGACCATCCCCTCAGTATGATATTGAGCCAGAGTCCCCCTATCTCCCCCCCAGATCTTCACTTCCAGCGTTGGACCGTAGGAATCCTCACTTGTACCTTTAGCTTTGGGGTATCCTAGGCAGAACAAAACTCAAGAGCCCCCCACCCCCGCACCACCCCCACCCAACCCTTCCCCCCAGCCCCACCTTCTAAATACACACACACACATTCACTGACAGATACGCATACACTAGCTAACAGAAACACACACTTGCTAACAGACCCACACACACTAACAGACAAACACACTCACACTCACTAACAGACACACACTCACTCACTAACAGACAAACACACATTCACTAACAGACACACACAGACACACACACACTAACAGACACACGCTCACTCACTAACAGACACACACTCACACTCACTAACAGACACACACACTAACAGACATACGCACACACACACACACACACACACATTCACTCACATTAACACACACACACTCACTCACATTAACACACTCACAAGGCTAACAAGACATTTGCCCTGGGCATTTGGGGGTGGCTTTTTTTGCCGCCCCCTGGAAAATGCCACCCAAGGCAAATGCTTTGTTTGCCTCGCGGCTAAAACGTCCCTGGTTACGGCAACTTTTTAGGGAAATTTACCTTGCTTTTGTGCCTAGTTTCCTTCCTTCCGGTGTCTAATGTTCACATTCTGGATGTTGACAATGTCTCTTTGCTAATTCTAGAAGGACCAGGGTTAATTCGGCTTCTTTTATCCGTTTTTTCAGGATGAGCCTCTTTTGTGTGTGGTTATGTGTCTTTCTCAATATTTGTCAGTGTCATTGCATTCCGCGTCTGTAAGGCAACTTCTCATTTCCCTCTCTCTGTCGGGAAGCTTCAGCCACTCTCGTAAGGTGGATCCAGTGACATATTTCCCTGGCGGGTATCTCTCCTTCCTTTGGGGTACATGATGCTGCTGCTTCCAGCCCTTTTTCAGCGTGGACTTCTTTAGTAGACATTTTACATTTGGTTGGCTGTGTTAATTTGTTTTGTTTTGATTATTTTTAAACTTAGTATAGCATTACTAATATATTAGTATACTATTTACACTGTATTTCTGCTGCTTTGGTATCAGTATTATCATCATATAATACTTGGGAGCTCATGGTTCTTGCCCGCACATTTGCAGCCTTCATTAATGGTCTGGATTTTTGCATGAGTTCTCCATTTTCTTCTTGTGGGACTGTTATGTTCTGTCTTTGAGCCTCAAAGAAAGAGGAGTTGGTTTAATGATCATTCTGGTTTTTTTTTTGGTTATTTTTTACATTACATCACTTTGCTGTTATTGGAAGTTGGGAAAAGAAAGTAATGCAAAGTATTCACCTCCTGTCTTTATTAAAATTCAGATTTTCAGAAACTGCAACTGTGACAGACTATCTATACCCAAAGAGGACAGCTTTAGAAGGCACTTCAAGAATGGTTCATGCCAACAGGTAATAAATGATTGTGGGTGATCACAAACAGTGGGGAAACACCTGGGAAGATACTCAAAAGGTCCCTAAATGTCCTCCAAAGTTAATAATGAGCCATATAATTGGGTGAAATTGTGAGCAAAGTGTAGAGATGGAACAAGTCTGCTTACTCAGGGGAAGAGCCGCAATGGTCAACTCTTGTCCATTCAATAAATAAAAAAAATAAAATGGCTAAATAATAATGAAATATGTTCGGGAATCCCAACCGTCCCCCACATCCTTAGTGGAGATAAGGTGTGGTAAGGTTTTGGGTGCTAGAAGCCCATACAAAGGAAGTATATGCACTCTTTAGTCTTGACAAAAAAAATTGGCCGGAATGTAACTAGGGAGGGTCTGCAAAAGATATGACACCTCAGGTAGTGTCATCATCTTCAAAATATTTATTCTATCCAGTAGAGAGAACTGGGGAAGGTTCCATTTTTTTTAAAGTCAGCAGAGAGTGCCTGAAACAAAGGAGGAAGATCAGCATTACAGAAGCTCAACGTTGAGGGTGTGAGTGTCAGGACAAAACAGTGACCCAACACGCAGAATGAAGTAAAACACGTAACAAATACAAACAGTCAATGTATTACCGGACCTTAGAATGGCCGGAATTAACGTAATAGAATAAACAGTCACGAGCCAAGGTCAGGAATACAGTTAGGAACAAATACGGCATGTCTGTGAGTGTATGTGAGTGTGTGTGTGTCTGTGAGTACATTTGTCTGAGTGTGTGTGTGTGAGTGTCTGTGAGTGTATGTGTCTGTTAGTGCATGTGTGTGTCTGTACATGTCTCTGTGTGTGTATGTGTGTTTGTATGTATGTAGGTATATGTGTATGTATGTGTGTGTCTGTATGTATGTGTGTGTCTACATGTATGTGTGCCTCTATGTGTATGTCATGTTTGTGTCTATATGTGTGTCTGCATGTGTGTGTGGGTGTGGGAGGGGACGGGGACGTATGAGGGGGCCCCAAAGCAATTTTCGCATTGGGCCCCGTGGTTGCTAGTTACTCCTCTGTTAATCTCTCTCTCTCTCTCTCTCTCTATATATATATATATATATATATATATAAAGGGGACACCCATATATATCCCTCTGCTCTCCTGATCTCTCTTCTGCTCTACACAAGTATGCTATTACCTCTCTATCTATCTGCCTGTTTATTAAACTATAGATGGTATATAACACCCAGTGTCTCCAAGTAAAGCAAAGAGGACAAATAGAAGAAATAAAAACAATGCTGCCAGTCTCCTTTTTCCTGTGTTAATATATTTTTTCCTTTCCCAGCTAGCCATGGTAGCCTCGCTTATGGATAAGCAATGCTTTTTTTTTTTGCATAAACAGAATATTAAAGGATATAATTGATATGTATGTAACCAGGTTTTTGATCCAAGGAGAAATCTAATTGCCATTGTGGAGTAAAGAAGGATTTCTTTCCATTTTTGTGACATATTTGGAAATGACTACAAGTGTGTTTTGGATGGTTTGCAAGGTTCATGGAATTTAGTCTTTTTTTAAGCCTAACCTTCCTGCCTGCCTGTCTATCTATCATTAAAATGAAGTAGTCTACATGCTATCAGTTTTTAGGATATTGTCTACACTACAGTCCCTATCCTTCTCTACACTACTACCTCTAAACCACCCTATACTACAGCCCCTGCCTTGCTCTACAGTATCCTTCTGTTCCCCTCTATATTACAGCCTCTAGCCCTCTCTACACTACAGTGTCTAATCAACTCTATGCTTCTACACTTCATACCTAACCCCTCCTACACTACAACTCCTATTCACCATGCAACACAGTTCTATTACAAATATATCCCTATACACTACAGTCCCTATCAATCACACTACAGCGCCTATCACCGTCTGTAAAATAGCCCTTATTTTCCTCTACACAACAGCTCCTACCCAGTGGTGGAACTAAAGTAGAGAGGGCCCTGGTTCAAGAATTAATTTGGGGTGCCTTATCGCAAAGGAAAGAAAGGTATCTCCCCATCTTTTGTGCAACTTCCACCATGTTTTGCCAGCTTGGGATCTTCCATTTGCCCATCCTTTAAGTTTTTGTATGTATTTGTATGGAGTATCTGTGTGAATGTAGGGGGTGTATTTGTGTGTAGTGTTGTGCGTTTTAATGTACTGTTGCCATTTGGAAGCAGTGGCTTACTTGTGTGTAGTGTTTGCCTTTAACTGTAGGTGTGTGTCTGTATCTAGTGTTGGAGTTTGAATGCTGATATGTATGCACATGTACATATACACTGTTACACACACACAATACACATACTGACACACACCTAGATACAAAGACACAAAGATACACGCACAGACACTCAAACAGATACACAGACATACAGATAAACACTGTGAAACACATACAGATACAAACACTGACACACATACATATACACAGGAGCAGACATGCAGACAACACAGTAAAGGAGAAGACTATATTTAAAAGAAGAAAAACTACCACAACAAGAGGACATAGTCTTAAATTAGAGGGGCCCCATGGATCGTGTGTACACCACTTACTGAGAGGGTAGTGGATGCATGGAATAGCCTTCCAGCTGAAGTGGTAGAGGTAACCAGACACACATACAGACACACTGGCACACATACAGACACATATATAGATACACGGACACACAGATAGATTCACAGACATGCTGACACACATAGAGACACATGGATAGATACACACATAGACACACATACCAACACACAGACATACATACAGACATGTATGCAAACTTTACACACTTTAACCACCCTCCAGTTTCCTACCTTTTGGGTGCAAGAGGGGGGCTTACCTGGTGTCCTGTCGGGTGGCTGAGGCTATTGGGAGTCAGACCCTATCCTGTCACACACTCACAAACACTACAACTCCAAACACAGTTCTTCCAAACACAGTCTTCTCCATGTACCCTACATTACAAACACTACACCCCACAAGCAGCCTCCCCTACATTTCAATTCCACAAGCAGTGTTTCCCAAAACAAATGCAGCATCCATACAAACATGCAACACCACAAGCAGCATTCCTACAAATTTGCAATATCACTTGCAGCCTTCTCTCACACAATAAAAACAATTAGTGTCCCTCCACACACAAGTCCTCACAGACATGCATCCCTAGCTCACACAATAGTATAAGCCGCCTACAGACAAACACGTAGCCTACGACCAAATATGCAACAACACAAAATGCAGGCACAATACCCTTTTCTAGACTTGTCTCTCTTGTTCTCAGGTGTCCAATTTATGGGGACACCAGAGACAAGAAGCTAGACAAGAACAAGTGTAACTTTAAAGGGACAATCTAGGTACCATAACAATTTAATGCCTTATGGTGCCAGAAGGCCCCCAGGCTCACTTTGATTTTAAACAATTCAATAACAGTTTAGCCCCTTGGGTTAAGGGCAGTGGCGTACTAAGGTAGGTGGTCCGTCCATGGTGCCACTCATTAAAGTGTGCCCAGGGGGTGCGATCTCCTAGTGACCAGCAGGAGGAAAGAGCACTGGACAGCACTCCCCTCCTGCCCGTCACTGCATGTAGGGTGGCCGAGCAGGCGGGCAACAAGAGAAGAGCCTCTGTTTCCCTATCCGGTCTGACAGGAAGTGCTCACTGAAAGCGCAGACCGCGAACAGGAAACAAAGGCTCCTCTGCTGCAGACGGCCTGCCTCATGTGAGGCTGAGCAGGCACAGGAAAGGGGATAAAAAAAAGTGCACAGGAGGGGGTCTAAAGAGGGCACAGGAGGGGAGAGGGGCTAAAGAAAGGCACATAAGGTGAGGGGGGCTAAAGAAGGGCACATGAGGAGAGGGGTGCAAAAGAAGGGCACAGGAGGGGAGAGGGGAAAAAGAAGGGCACAGGAGGAGGGAGCACAAATGGACACACAGAGGGGCTGGGGTGGAAAGACACACAGAAGGGCTCGGGGACAAAGAAAGTGAAACAGAGGAGCAAGGGGCACAAAGAGGGGCTGAGGGTGAACAAAGAGACACACAGAGGGGCTGAGGGGGGATAAGAGAGACACTGAGGGGCACAAAGAGACAGACAGAGGGGATAGGAGGTACAAAGAGACACACAGATGAGCTGGGTGGCACAGAAAGACACATTGTGGGGCTGAGGGGGACAAAGAGACACACAGAGGATCTGAGAAGGGCAAAGAGACAGAGGCCTTACAGGGAGCTGAGGGGGGGACGACACAGCACAGAAGAGAAACTCAGAAACACACCCAGGGCACAAAGAGACACACAGAGGAGCTGTGGCACACAAAGTCACAGAGGGGCTGAGGGGGAAAAACAGACACACAGAGGCCCCACAGCTAGCCTTGGAGGGACAAAGAGACACAGAGGGGCTGAGGACACAAGGAGACACACAGAGGGGCTGTGGGAACAAAGAGAGACATGGAGGGGCTGGGGGGAAAAAGAAACACACAGAAGGACTGGGGAGAGAAAGAGACACACAGAGGGACTGGCGGGGGACAAAGAGGCACATAGAAGTACTGGGGGGACAAAGAGACACACAGAGGGCCTGGGGGCACAAGGAGACACACAGAGGGTCTGGGGAACAGAAAGAGACATACAGAGAGCATGGGGGCCCAAAGAAACACATAGAAGGACTGGGGGGGACACAAAAAAATGTACACAGGGGATGGGGGACATAGAGACACACTGAGGGGTTGGGAAGAAACAGACACACAAATGGGCTGGCAGGACAAAGAGGCACAAAGAATGTCTAGGGGGACAAACAGAAACACAGAAGGGCTGAGGGGAAGCGACACCCAGAGAGCTTGGGGGGACAAAAAGGGTACACATAAGGGCTGGGGTAACAAACAGACATGCAGACAGGATGGGGGAAGAAACACACAGACAGGAAGCTGAAAAAGAGACACACAGAGGTGAAGGGGGAAAAGAGACACACAAAGGAGTTGATGGAGACCTGATAAAGGAAGAAAGAGGCCTGCCAGCCACAGATGCCAGCAGCAGCCAGCCGCCATCCACAACAGTCAGCCTGCCAGCCAGCTTGTCTGCCAACCAACCACAGCAGCCAGGCAGCCTGCCAGCTGGCCACAGCAGCCTGCCAGCAAACTTGCCGACCATGAAATATAGGTGGATGTGCTCTGGCATGTCATCTCTGCAAAGAGAGAGGGAAACATGGTGTGAGAGCTCGAGGTAAGGAGGCTGCAGAGCGGTGGCCTGACATGTAGTACTGAATTATGAGCACAAAGTTCTCTTGTGTCACTTTCTAGTTGTGTTTTAGGTTATTGAACCTCTGTACACCTTTTGCCCTCCACTTTTTTTTAAATTTTAGTTCTTTATTTTTGTTGTGCACATATAACAATACAAGCTTGCCTTGCCACAACAGCATCAACAAACATAATTATGACCCAGAATGGAAACCATCAGTGTGGCATTCCAAGAATCAGCTTACTTTTTATAGTAATAGTTAACAATCAAGCTAGTTGTTGTTGTGGTTTTGATGTCCATTATAATACTTATATTACTTAATTGGGGGGAGCTAAACAATACTTATTCACACAAACATACCATTCTAGTAATCAACGTAACATTAATCTCCCCCTTTATATTCATATATATTTTACTTTCTCTCTTTCATTTTTTCCCTTTTATTTTATATATATTTTTTCCCTCTCCCTTCCTTTTTTTCTTCTTTCTTTGTTTGCCCTTTTATTTTTTTCCTTTCCTTTTTCTCTCCTTTTTTTCTCTCTTCCCCCTTTCTCTCGTCACAATTTTGTACAGATAAAGATATACATTTCTCAATCATTATTTTAAATGATTAGATTTACCACATTTTTCCTTTGTTGCCTCTGGACCCTTATATTCCCTATTCAAAACACTCAGACCAATAGCTTATATAGCATAGATAAAATACACATTTATGGTCCTCTTGGGCTACCACTGAATTAAATCAATTTGATTAAGTCTTAAATCATTAAATCATACATATTATACCTTCATCAACTATATTTTCCAATTTGCCAACTTCAGTTGTCCAGCTAATATAGCATAGATAACATACAAATTTATGGTCCTCTTGGGCTACCACTAAATTAAATCAATTTCATTAAATAATTTAATCATACATATTATACCTTCATCAACAATATTTGCCAATTTGCTAACTTCAGTTGTCCAGGAAATATTTTACATTATACTGCATTCTTAAAGCACTTGCACTGTAATCATCGTAATATCGTTAACATTTTATAACTACATCTTCATAGCTTCATAGTTGTTTTATCACCAGATTAATATTACAAGTCCCGGAATTTAAGACACATAATCAAACCAAATTCCAAAGAAAAAAAAAGAAAAAAAAGAAAAAAACTTTAAGATATATTTCAGGGTACTTAAGGTTTTCCTGAAGGTCTTCCTGCCATCTTCCATTCCGGCTGCAGGAAGATGATGAGGGAGAACATCTTGCATAGACGTAGATTCCTCTATATTATCTAGTCTCCAATCTTTTAAAGTAGCCAGTCCGGTGATTCTTGATGGTCTTTGTAGTCTATGGGCTCTCTCTATCCCCCATATACTCTTATCCATGGCCGGGACCAGGGTAGTACAGAAGGAAGTAATGTACTCCACAATTTTATCTGCTGATATTGAATCATGCACACCTCTAAATCGTGCATTACTCCTGCGTGACCTATCCTCCAGGTCTGCAATTTTATTCCTAATTTAGCATTATGCATTTAGCATTTTCCTCCTCCAATTTAGCAAATTTATCAGCCAATTCATTATGAGCTATGCAGATATCGTCAGATATAATCAGTTCTCAACATTCCTCACTGGATTATGGTATCATTTTTGCACAATTTTACCCATTAATTACTTTATTAAGACCTTCATGCTTATCTCCCTAGCAACCTGGGAAGATTTTGGCGGTATTTAGCAATTGGTACAAGCCAAGCCTAATAATGGGTAGAGGGGCACTGTTAATTATTTTTGGTCTGAGAATAGGTGGTAATAATATTTTTGCCCTTGTTTTTCAGACCTACCTTTTCAGTATGCCACAACAGACTTGCTCTTACTGAGATAGCTCAAACCTAATGCAATACCTTGTGTGATTATTTCTGAGTGACTACTAAATAAAAACTGGACATACCCCATATGGAATACCCTGGGCTACCATACGGTCTCAAAGGCAACTTAAGCCCAGAAAACCAATCTGGCAAATTTCAATGTGTAAAAACTAAAAAGGTTGAAAGCCCTACAACTGACCCTGTAAATTTCCAAAATCCCATAAAACCTGAATATTAATGTGTATTTTATTGCAGTAAAAGCTAACAGTATTATGCCATTAGTAGTTAAAATGTCATGCAGAACTTGGAAAATAATTTTTTGTTTAATTTCTCTCATATATAAATGTTTGATGTGAAATGAAAGCCCAGTTTCTCCTGAGCAAAATTATATGTAATAATTGAGGGTGCACTTGATATGAAAGAGGTAAATTCTAGGTTTTGTTATTGTTCAGAACGTGGAAAATTGCCTCCTTCCCTAAAGGGACATTATAGTCACCAGAACAACTACAGTATATTGTAGTTGTTTTGGTGAGTATAGCCTGTTCCTGCAGGCCTTTTAATGTAAACACTGCATTTCCAGAGGAAATTGAGATATATTCCATAGAGTTGTATTGAATCAGTGCATCTTTATGAGGAGATGCTGGTTGGCGCAGCACAACGTTTTGCCGCACAATAGCCTCTCAATGCTTTCCTGTGGGAAAGCATTGGATTGGCTGAAATAATTAAATCTAATTATGTCAGCCAAGGAGGTAGATCAGAAGTGGGGCTAGATGCAAGGACCCTCATGAAGGGCTGGAAAAGGTGAGTAATTCACCTTTCCAACCCAAGGTAAGGGAAGGTGGTTTTAGAACTATTATTTAAGGAATACACATTTGTGTTCCTGATATTATATTGCCCCTTTAAGGCGTTAATATAGAAGGCTGTCTTGTTGTTGGATTGAAACCCATGTCCTTCCAGGTATTGAGTATTACAATTATTTAACATTAATAGCGTATTACAATTATTTAAAATTAATTCTATAATATCAGAGTAGATCTGTTCTTTCTGCTCAAGACATTTCTTGTGTTAAAAAATAGGCTTCTGACATCATTGTGCTATTATCGAATACTTTGCATGAAGATCATTCTAGAGTGGAAAAAATGAATACTCTCTGGAGGTAAAATCTGTTTCCCATGAATGAAATAACAGTGCTCTTCTGCATGCATCCTTAAGCACAATACTTTTTGAAGGATGTTTAAGATCTAAAGGGCTTCTGAAATTAATTTTGCTCCTGGCCCAAATTCTATCAAAGCATCTAGAAGAAAGTCTCTTTTGACACCACTGGATACTTTGTCCAAGTTATCCATCCAAACTTTGAAAGCTCTAGATACAGGCATTAAGCCCACTGCTGGACACAACCTCTACCTATAGCTAAGTTTCACCTTGCAGTGTAGAATAAAAACCTTGGCAACAAAGGAGTAGAAACAATAAATTAAGTCACTAACATTCATTATTGATTTTGTCGGTTACATTGTAATTAATCAAAGGCAACAGAGTTAGATTACAGTTAGAATGTGTTTGATATATTTTTTTTAATTAATCTTCTTTATCTCTTCTTCTAAATAATTATAGTTTTTGCTTTATAAGCAAAGGACTTCCTCCTCAGTCTACAGTGCTTCTCTTTTCTCTCCATAAATACTGCTGTACACAGTGTTCCGGCAATCTCGGGGTTGAAGTTCAACTATCAAACACAGACAATTGAACTGCAACTCCCTCAGCAGCATCATGAGTTTGTGGCGATCTCACTGCAGAAGCACCATCAAATGCCAAATTTCAAATGTGTGTTTATATTGTTTGTTAATTAATTCTTGCATTTATGATTTTTTTTTTTTTTACAAATAATATATATATATATATATTTTTTTTAACTCAGCTTTCAGTATAGTACAAAGGGCACAAAATATTGAGACATGTAGATGAGATCGTAAACGACAAATTAGTCATGTTTGTCACGTGATGTATTCGTAGGGAAAAGGAAAAAAAGGAAGAATTTATTACATTACAATATAATCTTAAATAAAATTAAGCATGAGTCAACATTTTTCATATAGAAAAAGCAAATGGTTCAGCACTCCTTATAACTGATAAATTCCCTTTATCAGACGCACTGGACTATTTGCTTTTTCTGTTTTGAAGCTGTGCCGCTTCTCAGACTGGACTGGAAGCCCATGGACACTGTCTTGGAAGACTTGTGGTGAATGCTGGCCTGTGTTGTATATCTCCTAAACACTATTAATAGAATTATTACATACATTGAAGATGGAAAAGGAACACTAAATCATTAGGAATACAAAACTCTATTCCTAACGCTATAGTGTCCTAAAGTCTGATTGCTTATAGCCCCACCCTCTCCATTTGTAGTAAAAAACTAAAAAAAAAAAAAAAAAAAAGCTTTATACTTACCTACTAATTCAAATCCAATGCTCCTCTTAGAGGACCACTGGGGACTGATGGCTATGCAACAACCACTTTCCGTGCTTTCCTATGAGCTGCATTTGACCACATGACCAAGTTTCAGTTTCACGTGGACAGCCACTAGAATGTTTAACGCTGCACTGTAAACATTGCTGTTTTTAAAAACTTGCAATGTTTTACATTGCAGGACTAAAATTACAGGACCACTAAACTCAGACCACTTGTTTGAGATGATGTGATATGGGTGACTTCAGTGGTTCTTTAAAGATAGAATTAACATAAAATAGCACTGAGTGGATCCCAAGTGTATACAGATAAGGAGCATGCAGGTTTTGTTTAACCCTAGGAATAGCTTTTGACATGAATTTATAATTTTAAATGTATTATTTAACTATGTAATCCATTAGAAAAAGGATGAGTTAACAACAACCTGGAGTTTATTGGTTATTGTTAATAAACCAATTTCATATGAAAAAAGGCACCAATATGAAACCTGGAATAAGAAAGCAGTAATGGTGAATAGAGATGCTCAGTGCATTCATAATTAGTACATCCCCTGTCTGGTTATATTTAAACATGTGTTTGATTTGCTACCTGTCATCATCGGGTACTGTTTAAATATTACATTTATTCGAATCCAGCCAGACCATGTATTAGTTTGCATTTACTCTACTTGTCATTACATAATTATTATTATTATTTTTTAAACCATTGCATTATAAAAAAAAAAAAAAGAAAAAGCCATGTCTGTAAGTTGTGTTTAGAAAAGAGAAATTCAGGCTTTATACCAACTTCCAGTTGATAAAAAAGGGAAAGTCAATTTAGAATGCTGATAGGACACATTCTGCCACCCTATTGGCATTTTCACATATTTGTTCCCTTTAATTAGTTAATTATTTTTTAGAAGTTTATGTTGGTTACAGAAACATACACTTTACCAACAGATTAAAAAACAAAAAACAAAACACTGATCCTTTTAATTTTTATATACTTTGTAATACAAATTGTGTCTTCAAACATCATTAACTTACTTTATTCCAATTTCTATTGTATTGTTATTATTATAACTGCATTAAGTCATTTAACATTAAAGACAAGCAATGGATTCTGCAACCTGTATAAAACTGGTGTCATAGTAGTTATAGAGAAGTAGCATTTACTTTCTTCAAATAACATGTGTGAATCAGAGACATAAACACCAGTTTGCAGAGATCGGGAATCTTCCCATAATCATGCCAGTTGCATCTTGGCTTTACAGAGTTCTGTGTGGGCTTGGATTGAAATTACATCCAATAAGTAAACTAGCACAAAAGCAGAAAAACAAAATATCTTATTTCAGATATCTGACAAGATATAGGTCATCTTGCTTGAGGATTGTGTGTAGACTCTATTCCTATCATCTGATGTTCCACATGTATAGCTCTGTTCACCCCTATTACAGCACATGTTCCATTGTTTTAGTTTTTAATTTCTTGGTTGTCCATTGACTTAAAAATGAAAACATAACAGGAAATATATTACTGTATATAGTACTGCCCAGCACAGGGCAGACAACCAAGACCAGGCTGCAATGAAAGAGCTTAACCCAAAAGAAACTACCTACTGGGAGTAAGAAATAACTGTTGCATGATCAAACTTTGGCCAAGGTTTAGCTATCGAACACATGGCCTCAAATTTGACTAGAATATTTTTTTATACAGAGGAGTTCATGGTCAACTTCATGACTGAAAGGTCCCCAGGTCCTGTGGCTGCAAATCAAGCCCAAATCATACGCATAGTCGTCCCCTAGGCATATTCCTAATAAATCCACCATAAGACCACCCTTCAATTAAGCACAGACACAGATATTTCTTGGGAAAATATCACAGCTTTTATTAATGATAATTGTTTAAACATACAAAATTTAAATAAGGTTTCAAAGTCAAACACACTTAAGACATTGAAGCCCAACAATTTTCCAATGTAAAACATTTACAGACAATGACCCCCACATAAATGACAGCAAACGTAAAACAATATTTATCATTAAATACAAACAGTTAACACAGCCACCAAGGGCATCTTTTTCACAAGCACCAAGGGCATCCTTAACCACTTGTAGAGGTATACTTATATACTGCTACATACCCAGGTTCAGAGCTACCGACGTGCTCAAACCTACCTAACCAAGGCAAACCTTACCATTGCTCCTGAACTTGAACTTCTCCCACTAACCAAGCCAACCTACCCCCAATTATCCTTATCCATCCCCCGCCACAGTACAGAGCTTGACCACCTCAAGCTACCCACTATAAAGAGCCTGTCTCAATCCTTCCTGAAAACCCAAGTTCAAGAAGTCCATGCCCACGTCAGAAAGATGTCCTCCATAATACTAGAAATAGCCGGGAAGCATAGCTTCCAATTCTCTGTGCCTAATCACAACACCCCCTAATCTCTTAATGTAAACCACCATCGACTGATTGATCTTAATGCGACGTGTAGCTATCGGCGCAGAGACTCTAGCAAAACGCCAGTGCATATGCGGCACCATTTTAGATCAAATAATAATTACACCGGAAGCTAAATCTCTCACCCTATCCACGTCCCTCTTCATGGAATGGATCAATTTACTTTGAGGTACAAGCCCCAAGTCATTACCCCCGGCATGGATTAAAATACAATCCGGAACTATGCCCTGCCCTATTTTCCTAAACAATTCAGAGCAGATGTCACTCCAACAAAAACCATAAAAACCAAACCAATGTAACTTAAGTAAATCATGAGGAAAGTCCAGCTGCATGCCCTTGGGTCGAACCGCGGCTTTCCATTCCGCCCAGTAGACGAAGGAATGGCCTACTATCCAAGCAACCCACCCTAGAATAGAAGATAAACATATAGAACAACACATAATAAGCACTTTTTACTTCCCCCCCTCACCCCCTGACTTAAACCAACCAATCAGGTCGAACATAAGACCTGAACTTCACCTATTCCCATCGACCAATCTTTTTTACTAGCTCATCAGTGAAACCCAACCGTGCCGCTCCTGTTGCTGCCCCAATCCAAAATAAATGAGTACCAAACTGTGACGAATCCACACCCAGATGCCCCAAGCATAAGTGAAAAACACAGGTAAACTGATATTTGGACAGAGATGACCCATAATTGTGGATGAAAAAGGAACCACCTGCACGCGAACGAACAGCCAGATATCAGGAAGCGCAACCCACCGGACATGCCCATGAGCCGGGTAAACAAGACAATTTAACCAAGCAGCCCTTACTGAACACATCTGTTTTTGAACGGCAGAGATTAATACTAACCTTATCTTCCCCAGCCTTCACATCTGAAACCAGAATACCCCCTACCTGACACCGGCTCCTACTCACCAATTCAATAACACAAAAAGTTCCAAAGAATGCCCAAACAAATGCCACAGAAAACAACAGAACTTCACATTGAGATAAACAAAGATCCTGCAATGTCCCAACCAGCCAGAGGAGCAAGTCAAAGGAGACCGGTCTCCTGGTATCAGGAGCTTTCTTCCTTTTACGGAAACCTTTAACCCCTTAAGGACCAAACTTCTGGAATAAAAGGGAATCATGACATGTCACACATGTCATGTGTCCTTAAGGGGTTAAGAGTCTGACGGACCAGAAAGTGCTTTGTCAAGTCTTCCCACCCATTTAATTTGAAGAGCAAAGCCAACGTGGCTAGATTATGATCAACAACCGGATGCAAACAACCGACACCATAGCAGAACATCTAGAAGTACCCCTGCAAATTGAATACCTTCAATACAGCCCCACGCTGCATCCCATGTTTCCCATACTTGACAGTACGCTGCCCAAGTGCTTGGAGCCCATGACTTGTCCTCCAAACATGAAGTCATGAGATGCCACAGTTCGGCCGGGCAAGATAAACCTTCCGCCTGGGGCTTCCGCTCGGAATTTCAGCAATTGCTCTCAAGAAGCCCGGCACATGACGTGCATGAAAAACAATATTAAATTGCATGCAATGTAGGACAAATTGACATAGTAGCCAAACCACTGGGACTGAAGAGGCCGATAAATTATTTACTGCCTCCACTATTGACATATTATCAGAAAAGAAGACTGCTTTCCTGTCCTGCAATATGGGAACCCATAGTGACAAGGCCACCAGTAATGGAAACAGTTCTTAACACATCAAATTCCGAATGAGCGCGCTGGCAGACCAAGATGAAGACCACTTCTCCGCGCACCAGTGAAGTATGCGCCGAAACACACATTACCCGATGCATCTGTGCTCAAAAATTCCGTCCTCCTTCATGAGTCCTGACACCGTGATGAAATGATGTGGCGACCGTACACCACAGGTGGCTTTAGCCAAGAATCTATTGAACACCCTCTTCCACCGGGATCACACAGCACGCAGAATTCAAGCGTCCAATTAATGTCTGCAGCATGTGTAAGGTCAGTTTTTAAGACTCCCGGACCTCTGCAATGCATTCCCTAAGAGCACCCAATTTGTCCTGCCACGGTGTTGATCTCGAGCCCCAAAAAACTCAAACATGTTGATGGCCCTATGGTTTATTCACCCGCCAATGGCACCCCGCAAACATTAGCCACCCATTCCAGCGTTCTTAAACCGATCCTGCAGGCATCGGAATTGAAGGGACCGACGCATAAGAAGTCATCCAAGTAATGGACCACATACTTAGTGGCTGCCACCATCTTGACAACCCATTCTAGGAAGGTGCTAAATTTTTCAAAGTATGCATGTGAGATGGAACAACCCATGGGCAGACAGAGATCAGCGTAGTATTTGCAACCTAATAAATGGTGACACGCGGGATGAATGGGCAACAGGTGGAACGACGATTCCACACCAGCTTTTGCCGATGGCGCAAACCTAACTAAATCAACTGCTTGGTCAAATGATGCATAGGAAGCCAAGCAGAGTGCCCCATCGATATCATCATTCACTGATGCCCCTTTAGTGTAAGAAAGGTGGTGAATGAAACGGAACTTGCCTGCTTCCTCCTTGGTACAACACCCAATGGTGAAAATCCTGGATCGGCCGTTCCACAAAAGACCCCGCCATCCGTCCCAACTGTAATTCTTTAAATAATTTGTCATGCACAACTTCAGAAAAAATCATCAACCGAACGTAGATTTTGTAAACAACAAACCTCCACCCGATTTTGAAACACAATCACAAACCCCCAAGTGAAACCATCCTGAATAAGTACTGTATCCTCACGTTACTGTATTTGTTTAGCCATGGGAGCACAGCGGCGACCCTCACCAGCTAGAACCTCAGTGGCAGAGGATGACACCGTGGCACCTCCAGTGACTCCGCCTGTTGCATTTTTCCCCCGCTTTAAGCAATGATTGAAA